AATTAGGAACCTTCTAAGTCAAGAATTTGTAGGGGAAAACTGATTTAAATTGGTATTTTAAAAATAGCTATACTGTCAGGTATGTAATTTTAACTTTATAAGTTATATAATATACATTTTTTATGATAACTTAAGTTTTAAATTTTTTTATAATGTATTATTTAATATATTATATAATATTAATAAAAGATTTATAATATAATCATGTTCAAGTATAAATTAATTAATGAACAACTTAAAAATATTATGATTTAGACAGAATTGTGATATATGATTAAATTTAATTCTTTTAATTATTTTTTCATAATTATTATATCTTTTACTTTTTATTTAATAAATATGATCTCTTAATTACGACTCTATTTATAATTTACTTAACAAGATTTTATTTATTTATCAATAAAAATTAAAATTCTACCTCTTAAAAAAATGCCAAAAATTGAAATTGTGATACAACAGTTTGAATTGGTTTAATTTTAATATTATTTTCAAAGCAATTTAAATTGAATTACAATTTTTAAAATTGAACTGGCAATCACCCTTAATTACAATTAATAAAAATATAAAAAACTATTTAAATCCTTAGATAATAATTAAGATAATAATAATAATAAAATAAAATAAATTATCTTATTTTTATTTTAATCTATCAATCGGAAGTCAATAGAATATGCTAAACTTATTTATTTTTCTTTTTTTAAAAATCTTGTTTATTAGTTTAAAAGTTATCATGATGGCGTTGGCCTTTGTTCTTTTAAAATTTAAATTTTTTATTTTTAATAACTCTTAAATAATAATTTCACTAATTGAAAAGTTCATACATGTTAATTTTCTTAATTGAATTACATTAATATAAAAGGTTAAAATTAAATACTCATAAATATCTTATTAAAAAAAAAAAACTGAATAAAAAAAGAAGAAGCAAAAAGTAAAGACGTATTCTCGATTGTACAAATGCATTAATGTCTTATCACTTTACATGAAAAAGTACAAAAATCATAAAGCCTAAAGTATTTAAGTCTCTGTTACTAATTAATGTTGTATTACTTTATAAGAAAATCTATGTAACCAGATATTTGAATCGCCTGTAGTTTTCGACAGTTTTACCTTTAAGTGAAATTTTTTTGTTTAAGTGAATTTTAATAAAAAATAATTTTAGCTTAAATTAAAAAAATTATTTATATAAATTTAAAATTTTATATATTTAATAAGAAATAAAGATTAAAATTATTATTCATGCATGTATGACAGTAAATGTAAATAATTTTTAAAAGTACAAGTATTAGAAAGGATACAACATATTACCTAAACCTTAATAGTTTTAATTTTATTTATTTTTATAATCTCTTTAAAGAAATATTGTCTTCTTTAGAGTTACATATTTTATTTGTTTTTGAAATGTTTTTCAATTCCATATTCTTCGTAACTATTTTTTTAATTCCATACTCAGAAAATCACAAAGCTCCAAGGTTAAATCAAAGGTAACTTTGAAAAACATAAAATTATCTTTTTAATTATTAAAACTAATTATTATTATTATTGTTATTATTATTATTATTATTATTATTATTATTTCTATACTGTAATTATTTTTTGCAGTAGTTAATTTTATTTAAGTAGCAAAATATTAACGAATTTTTTTTATTTTAATATTTAATATAGTTGTATTGAAACTCAACTTAAAATCTTTAGTTAAATTAAAATATTCTTAGAGTAGTTAATCTACATATTTGAGGATTAATAATAATTATTTGATATAGTTATTTGTTATTTGTCATTTTTAAGATGTTAATTAAAAAATATATATTCAATTTATTTAACTATAGCAATCTTAATATTTGATTTTTAAACAATTTGAACTATTAAAAAAATATATTAAATTTTATTTGATTAAAAAGAATGTTATTTATCACATCTTTTAATATAACATCTTTCTTACATCTATCTTTAGAATTTATTTTATGTAATTAAATGTTAAAGTTTTATATATAAAAATAAATATATGCTATGTTAAAAATAATTAAAAATCAACTTACCAAACTAAGAAAATTAAAATCAATAATTTTTTTTTTCAAATCAATCTTTAAAGTTGGTGTTGATAAAATTATTTAATATAATATGTTAATTTGTTATTGTTTTAAAAGAAGTTTGAACAATTGTTTTTTGGTGTTATAGATTAAAATTATTTTCCATATAATTGAGTTTAATTTTTTTATTTGAAAATAATATATATTAAACATTAATTTAAAATATTTGATTTTATTTAAACAATAAAATATTTATTAAAATATAACTATTTTATGTATGTAAACAGAACCATTTTTGTAAAAAAAAATAAAAAATTCTCTTTAAAATATTTTGACTTGATATAGAGAAAATTTTAAAAGTCCAAAATTTAAAACAATTTCCTATTTTGCTTGAATTTCTATGCAATTCCATTTCATTTACCTGAAACATAATTTCCGATGATATCCAAATGTTTTTGTAATTGATAATCCAAGGTCTCGTTTGTATTTCAAAGTAAATTTATATAATATTTAAATTTAAAGATACTTACTAACTAAAACCCTTAAAATAATTTGATTAAAAATTAAAAAACATTAGATAATAATAATGATAATAATAATAATAATAATAATAATAATAATAATAATATGATTTTAATATATTATTATTTTTATTATAGTTTTAATTTTTTTTGGGGTCAACTATCATAGTTTTAATTAAGAGTGGTAAAATATGCGTGACTTAACTTTTTATTGATTTATGTAATCTGTGAATTAGATGAACGAGATAAAAAAGTATATAAATCTGAAAAGGCCAAGTAAGTTGGTTCATCAATCAAGTTATATTTTAAAAAATTAATAATAATGAAAATTTATTTATTAATTTTTAAATTATATATTTTTAATAAAAATACTCTTATTTAAATTAAATAAAATTTTTATGAACAATAATTTTTTTAAAAATAAATAATAAAATTTTATTTTAAAATTTTGGTAATAATTAAAATGTATTTATTATTTTTTAAATTACATATATTTTTTATTGTTTAAGCATAATATTTTTTTGAAAGACAAATATTTTTCTTAAAATATTTAACACAATTGATTTACTACAATTTAAATTCAAATTCTCATGTTAAGCAAAAATAATTTCTATTCTATTAATTCATGTATTTAATGATAAAATATATTTATTAATTTTTTATTATTAATTTATATGTATGAATTTTATATTGTTTTAATATTTTATATTAATTTTTAATAATTTTTTTAGGTGGACTAATATATCAACTTACTTTTTTTATTTTTTATTTTGTTGTTTTTAAATTTTTATATGAATTGGATTGGACCAATTCCCTTTTTAACGGGCTATGAGCAAGACAAGGTAATTGATATGTTTTTTCATCTTTGTTTTTAATGTACTTTTTAAGGTATTTTTAAAAAAAATTAATAACTAATTCTTTAATCAATATTCTTTCTGTATTTTTTATAAGAGTGTTTTTTTTTTAAAAATTGGTACTTCTTAATATAAGATGTTTTTCTATCTTTTAAAAGTATTTATTATTATTGACATATCTATTTCTTTATAAACTTAAACTTTTATAGTTTTTTCATAATTAGTATGATAATAGCTTTCTGTTTTATTAGAGATAGACTTAAAATATTATAATTTTTTTTAAATAACACATTGATTAATTTTATCAATTTTTAAATTTATATAATTTAATTAAAAGTTTCTTATCAGGAATTAAGCTTAAAATGCATAGAAGTTGGAACCTAAAAATTATAATAGAATTGATATCATATATAATTATTTAATTTTTTATATATACAGATATCTGAAAATCAATTCTTTTAAATAGAAAAATATTACAAATATCTCACTTGAAAATTTACTAGTAACGTTTTCCAAAATAAAAGTAGAAGCAAAGTTAATTAACAAGCCGATGGAAAGAGTTTCATGAAAAGTTGATTGTCCTGGTATGTAGTATTTAACCTCAAACTGATTTGAGGAATGTGAATGAGGAGGGACTTTGGGACGTGGCTAGACAGCATGAAAACATGCAAGTTCAAAGTTCCAAGATCACTCTGAAGGGGAAACAAAGATGGGAGTAGTAAGTGAAAACAGTAAGCGAGTAACAAGTAACAAGAAGAAAAGGGTAGTGAAGTTTGAGAGTGATGATTGATGAGTTGGCTGGCAATATTGGCTCTCCAATCACATTGAATCTGATTGATTGCATGCAATGGGAAAGGGTGGATGAGACAGGTGGAAAACCAACAAATGTAACCGACTGGAAAGGGGACTGTTTCATGAAACAAGGGAAAAAGACAGGGCGACCAAACCAATCCTAATAGGTGTTTTCATGCATGGCACTCTACACCACACGCGTTATGATGACAGGCCCTTTTGGTCTAATAAGCCATATTGGTGCATGTTAGACATTGAGCCTTTCCCCCTCTTCTTAAATGCCCCTCACTCTTCTCTCCCTTCAACATTTTTCACTCAAATTCCCATTTTACCATTGTGTTCTTATCCAATAATATTACTACTACTATGTGTAACCATGCATGGACCCACTCTCACTGCCCAATCCCCACATGTCCACTTTCATGAGCCTAGCTAACACGTACCCACCGTACAATTACAAGTGTCCCTTTCTCCTCCCTTCTTGCTTCATGTTGCCTATCTCTCATTGGTTACTTCTTAAACACTTTCAATTCCACCAAACATAAGTCATCTCCACAGCGCCCCCCCCCCCCCCTTCTTAAGACATAGAGACCATAACCCCTCTTTTCCAACGCCTCCCTCCTTTATAACTCTTCCCCCACTTACCCTCTTTTATGCCATTCTCAAAAATGCTAATTTCTTAAACACCCTAGAGGATCCTCTTCAGTCTCATTGCACTAGTCAAGGCCAAGCTTGGTTTGCTTTTGTTGGCTAACTCAAGAAAGTAAAAATAGAGGTGCACAAGTGAAAGGAGATAGCTAGCCACCATGATCAAGACCTTAAATCCTTATCCCAACCCAGCAAAAACTGCTGAAATCATGTCCAGGTACAGGCCCATAGCTCCAAAGCCTGAAACTTCCTCAAATTCCATGAGTGAGGGTTCCTCCTCCCTCTCCCAAAAGATCAAGCAGTCTCCTTATCTTAGGAACCTATGGCCACAGTTGCAAGCCAGGCCCACCAGGACAAGAAAGAGAGGTAGGACTCCTATAACACTTCCCTCCTCTTCCCTCAAGAGACAGAAAACACATGTCTTAGGATTTTGTCCCCCTTGTCATGTAACATCCCCAGCAAAGAACCTTTCTTTACAGAGTTTTGCTCCTCCTCGTACCCTTCCTCCTCAACTCCCTCTCCCTCCTAACCATGGAATTGGAGTGCTCAATTGCAGCTTGCAAAACACTGCTGCTACCAATCCAAGCTTGGTTACACTTCCACTTCTTCCATGCTCCCCTTCTGCTAATTCCATCCTCACAGAAACCAAATTGGACTTAAAAACCAACCCCTGTAGGGAAGAGGTCATTGATTTGAACACCAAAGTGGATATCCCTGAAGAGAGGGATCTTTTGCAACAACTACAAAAACCAGTTTCCAGCAATGTTATAGCACCTCAACCAGTTCGCCCCATTGGCTCATGCATAAGTCTTGTGTGCATTAGTGAAGACTCAACCCTTCCATATGTGGCTCAAACCCCCAAAAAACCACAGGAGCTTGAGGAAATGGTTGAGTCTGAGGCCTTGCCAGCTATCATATCAGACTCAAACAACAGGGTTAGAATGGTAAATTCTGCATACAAGGAAATGGTGGGTCAGCCAGAATGTTCTTGGCTTGAGTCCATGGTAAACGGTGGTGATGGACACCTTCAATGTGGCTCATCTAGCAAGAGGATCAGTGGAGAGGTAACATTGAATCTTTGTGATTCCAACATACCAGCTTCATCAAATGGTTTCTCTTGCTGGGTGAGGATAGAATGGGAAAGTGAACAGAAGAAGAACTCGGTGAATGCTTTCTGTGACGTTACAAAGTTGTCTTGTGAATCGAGGGACTACCACTTCACATGGAGGTTCCACACTCGTACCAGGGAAGCTTCTCAATCCAGTTGCAACGCTTGAAATTAGTATAATCACTGCACATATAGTTCTAGACTCTAGTATAACTGGTCACTTCTTGTCTGTTATCAATACATATATGTACATGGTTATATTATATAGTATTAGGGATTATTAAGCATAGTTTTCTTTCTAAGTCTCTTTTACTAAGTGCCAACAAGAACTTGTGCTCAAAAGATGTATTGTTAAGAACAGCTATTTACTATATAAACTATTTTCCATATACATAAAACCATAAATGTATATTCGATTATTTTAGCTTAGCTTACACTTTTAACATATGAAGTTGTCACAAAATGGGGAAACTGCATAGCATGCATCCACACTATTTTGCTGGCTCTTTGCCGTATGAAGTTGTCTTCATTCATATTAATTAGGACGTAATAAAGAGGTTGAAACTGATAACAGTAAGAAGATCAGATGGAGACGCAACTTTCCACATTTTTTAAGGTGGTATTCATCTAGACCGTGGGAGGAAATTTAGGAAAAAGGGCGAAATTAATGCAACGGATGATGGGGAAAGTGAAAGAGGACATGTACTACATTTTCATGCTGCCCCACGAAAAGGATGAGACAATAAAGGGTTTTTAAAACACCTCAAGGCAGAGACACGTTTTAAATAAGCTTCCAAGTGATGAAGGAGCCATCTCATCTTTAAAAGGGATGTGATGACACCTCTTTACGCTCAAAGAGGTCCTATGGGATCACGAGGAACAAAGAAACTAATCTAATTACTTAGTAATTATGTAGGTATATATAAGTAATAGTTCCATGTCATAAGTATTCAATTGCCATAAGCATTGGTTAACGAAGTAAAAAGGAACAAAGTTATGGTAGGCGTATATTTAATAATATTTTTAATAAAAAAATTCTCTTTTAATTTCTTCAGCACTGCATAGCTTAATTTTGTGGTATTTGAATATCTATGAAAAGTTTATGGTTTAAATGAGAACAAGAAATTATGAGAGCAGTAAGAAAGATACTCTATTACGCATTTATTCTCCTATCTCCTTTAGGGGCACTTAAAATTACCAAAGTACGAATACAATTATTACACGCACGCGGCAGCACAAGGTGATGAAACAGCAAGCTCATCTAAACAGACAAATGTCAACAGAAAAAAGTAGCAAAAATAAAAATGGTTTTCTACTAACGCGCACAGGTTGATACAAAACAAAACTTAAACTTCCAATTTTTTTAATTAATTGTTTTCCCCTTCTTTCCACTAGTTTATATCCTTTTGTGGGAGATGCGAAATAAATATTATCTATTAAAAGTAAATTAAAGTCATCAAAACAAACAAACAATAGGGGCATAGAAAAGTATCCATGGTCACGAAAACAAAAAAAATATTAAGATAGTCTCGGTGAATTACCATATAGAATACGATAATTTTCATACATATCAGCGTGTAATTGGGTGTAATTATAAATACGGGAATTGATATGATCTAATAATTTATATTATATTTAGATTTACAATTAATTGATAATGAACTAGTTGTAACTTTTCTACTAGATTCACGATTATAAAATTTCCAAAGTGAATCCAAGGAGTGGGAGAAGCTGTTTTGGGCGTCAATGTCACCATGATTATTATAATAAAAAGGATAAACCGAGTGTTGAGAGGATCAAAGGAATAAGGACACCGGCTTTGCACATTCTAAGCTGCCAGGTTGTCGTTTTGTTTGTTTCCCACAATTGAACGCCATTTGTGTCCTTGTTCGCATCGACCCACTCTCTCTTTTGTCTCTCTCTTCACCTTCTCATACATAACATTCCCAAACCCCAAACCAAAGCCTCCAATCAATGCTCATCATCAACAACAATAACAATGCCACCGAGCAACAGTGACCCAACACTTGCCACGCTGGAATCAGCATGTTCCGATTTGCAAACCCTCCTTCGATCCTCCGAGGAAATGGAAGACAACCTCGGAACCATGGAGACAAGGTTCGATCTCTTACAAGGATCACTCACAACAGCATCAAGAAGAATTGCCCCTTTGCAATCATTAGCCATGTCAAGGAAAGCACTCGACACAAGAATCACAAGAGCCATTTCACCAGCACTTGCACTCCTCAACACGTTCAAACTCACGGAGTCTCTCCAAAACAACCTCCTTAACCTCTCTTCGAATCTTTCAGCGGAAAAGACACAACATAAAAGGCTCCAGAAGCTTCTAGAATACGTGGAGTACATGGATGACTTGAACGAGGCTATTAACTCGATATGCGAAGACGTTGAAGCGGTGATTCAGAAGCTTCAAGAGGTGGTGGAGTTTATAAGCAGAACCAAGGCTGCGGATGAATACAGAACGCAGAGGTTGAAAGAGGCGTTGGTGACTCTGAAAGCGCTTTATGAGACGGAGGTGGATGAGATGAGGTTCGAGGGTTTGTTGGATCAGGCTTTGGTTCATGTGCAAGATGAGTTTGAGGGTTTGTTGCTGAGAATGAAGCACAGGAACCTAAGAGATGGGTTAACGTTGTTGTTGGAGGATCATGCTGCCAATGATGCTCAACACGTTATTGTCAGGGGTACCTCTGAATTAGGCTCGGAGCTGGAAATTGAAGTTCTTAGACGAATTTCAACCACTCTTGCCGCAAATGATTGCCTAGATATATGCATTGACATCTACGTCAAGGTAACCCTCGTCATGAATAATCAGGATTATAATATTATATATAGGTTAAATATATTTTTTAAAATTTAATTATTTTAATAATATATATATATATATTGTGTATTGAATAAAACTTGCATCATGTATGCAGTAGTGATGTTTTTACATCTTAATTTTTACTCGTCCAACACTTCTGATTCTCGCTTTCTAATATATATTAATCTTCATTTAATTTTTATTGTAAAGTATAAAAAAAATTATATATCATCGTCTAATTAAAAATCTTAACAAAATTCAAGAATTTTAATATAAATGTTGTACAAAATTATTATACGTCATTTTAAAAAATATTCCTTTATATTATATGAAAATGAAAGAAGACAAATGGGTTATCTCCACTTCTTTTGGGTCATATTTTACTTACACCTAGACTTATTGTAAAACTTATGATCAAAATATGATGCAAAAAGAATAGAGATATTAAAAGCTTTAAAGTTATGAAAATAGAAGTATGAAAATATTAGCATTTGAGTGAAAAATAAAAGAAAAATGTTATTAATGCATCTTATTTTTGGAATATAAAAGGTGAAAAGAAGAAAAAGATAAAAAAAATATAAATACCATTGTTAAAAATAAAATAATAAGTATTCTGATGATCCTTTTCTTACACACGCTTCTATACTAGTTGACAAAGAGTTGGTAATTTTATAAAATATATTTTTTAAAAAAGATTGCTTAAAAAAAGTGAAGTGAATTAGTTAATCATATAACGATAACAAGATGTTGGATTGGTTGATTTTATGTTTAAAAATGCCTTATCAATCAAAATTATGCAACTAATCTTTCAGATGATTTGTCTTTCAAACGCCTAAACAGGCAAGATATAGAAGGGCAGCCAAAGCACTAATGAAGCTAAACCCCGATTACCTAAGAACATACAGCCCAGAAGGAATCGATGAAATGGAATGGGAAACATTGGAAACAGCCATAACCCTGTGGATCCAACACCTCGAAGTTGCAGCAAAGAGGGTCCTTCTCTCAGAAAAAAAACTCTGCCAAAGAGTGTTGGGGCATTTCATGGATGGACTAGTATGGCCCGAATGCTTCGTCAAGATCTCAGATAAGATCATGGCCGTTTTCTTTCGCTTTGGAGAAGGAGTTGCCAGAAGCACCAAAGAGCCTCAGAAGCTGTTCAAACTCTTAGACATGTTCGAATCCTTAGAGAAACTCAAACCCCAAGTGTTGCAAATCTTCGATGGTGAACCTGGAGTGGACATCTGCACACGGTTCCGAGAGTTAGAAAAACTCATCATTGATGCTTCAAGCAAAGTTTTCTGGGAATTTGGTCTCCAAATTGAAGGAAACATCGATGGTCTTCCACCCCCACAAGATGGTTCTGTTCCAAAACTCGTTAGGTATGCTATTAATTACCTCAAGTACCTTGCCACAGCGAATTATAGAACAACCATGGCTAAGGTTCTTCGGACAGAACAAACATGGAAAGGTGGCAGCGACATATCATGCAAGCATGAAACGGATGAGAGTTTACTAAAGCATGCGATTTCCAATGTGATGGAGGCACTTCAAAGAAACATTGAGTCTAAACGTTTGTGTTGTAGGGACAAGATTTTGATGCATATATTCACTATGAACACTTATTGGTACATTTATATGAGAACTAAGAACACTGAGCTTGGTGAGATTTTGGGGGAGCAATATATGAAAGATGGTTACAAGGCAGTGGCTGAGGAATCGGCTTACTTGTATCAGAAGCTAGCGTGGGGAGGTCTGGTGAGGATTTTGGGTGTTGAGGAAATGAGGGAACAAGGGAAGGATAGTTTTGGAAGGTTGGTGAGTGAAAAGATTGAGGCTTTTTTAAAGAGTTTGAATGAGGTTTGTGAGAGGCATAGAGGAGTTTATAGTATACCAGATGTTGATTTGAGGGAACAGATGAGAGAAGCCACTGTGAAGTTTGTGGTGCCGAGTTACGTGGAGTTTGTGGAGTCTTATTCTGGTTTGTTGCAGAGGAAAGTGTATCCAAGTGTTGAAAGAGTGAGAGGGTTGGTGGGGAAGGCTTTTGATGTTGGTGATGTTAAGTTTAAGAGAAGAAACTCTTGTTCCAATGATTGGAATGTTGGATCCTCCAATGGTGATGTTTGAAAGGATTCACAAACGCTCCTCTTTGTCCCACAATTGAGCTAGAAGAGAATTGACGCATTCATATATACCTTTAAAATGTTACGAATTCTTTTGTTTTGGGATTAGGAACAATGAAACACGTTTGCTAGAAAGTAACCCATACATACAAGTAAATTAATGTACTTACAAAGAAAATGGTAAGGTAAATCTTATATTCTTATTGTAATTACTTTGTGTTTTCATTTTTCATGTTGTTACATCGTTTAGTTGTAATTAGTAAGCATGTTACAACGCGTGTTAACTAACTAACAACACTTTACACTGTTTTATAAATATAAAAACATTATTAATATATGATTATTTTTGTTATTAATATGGCGAAAATTTTATTACAACCATCCCTTATAAGTACAAAACGAATGAAAATAAAAAAAATTCATGTACATATCATAGAACCGTTGACTATTCTTCACGTTAATAACAATTAACAAAACGTACAAGGTATAAACAGTCGTATGTTTTTTCCGAGACAATATGCTGAGCCAAACGAATAAGAAAGAAGCATATAAAGTATTGTTTTGAAACTTGAAGAAAAAAGTATCAGTTTTTTATATTTTCACGTAACAAGCGTTATATTTCGCTCATTCTTTTTTTTTTCTTTACATTTTAATGATTATTTTAATTTCAGTTTTATAAAAATAAATAAATAATTTATAATTTCATTTTTGTCAATTTATAATAAAAATTAATGTTGACTTCAATAAAAAATAATAATACATGAATTATTTTTGACCATATAAATAATTAAATAATGGATACCTCATGGGAAAGCCGTGGGTTGAAAGGTCGTTTATAGGAATGAAGCACGAAACGCAGGGAGGTTATTAGAAACGTCACGATTCCCATTGTCGTTTTAGAAGCAGTGCACGACAGAGGTTTCCCCAGTACAGTAATGCAGGATCGGAGCTGAGAGGGAATGATTCCAAAGCGTGGAAGAATCTACCAAACACCCAAACACCATATTATTATCTATCAGTTCTTCATTTCTCACTCAATAATAATAGTTTCTAAAAAAATGGCGAATAATGAAAAAAATGAGCTTAGAGAAAAGGATGGAAGTTGTTCATTCATGGATTTCCCGGACGACGTTCTGGTCTGCATCCTCTCGTTCCTGGGCCCAACCGAGATCGCCACTTTCGGGTGCACATCGAAACGCTTCGTTTCACTCTGCGGCAGCGACTCGAGGGTGTGGTTCAGTATGTGCGAGCGCAGGTGGGGTTCGAAGACCAGCATCGCGAAATGGGGCAAGGGCAAAATCTCCTACAGGATCCTCTACAATACCCTTCACGATTGGGAGAACCTTCTCGGCTTCTGGCGCCGAAGCGGTGACGGAACCCCTTCCTTGCTCTTCTTCGAGTGGGGCCCATCGTTTCTCGCAGCTTCTAGGGTTTCTCCCTCCAAATCTGGAGCCTATGACGTCACCAAAGCGCCGTTTCTCTGGATGACTCTCTCCCAGGAGGGACATGTCGTCTGTTTTCTCGATCCTCACGGTAGGGTTGACTTTTCGCCCAATGTTGACCTCGGATTTTCTGAGGTTCAGGCTTTGTTGGTTCCGGTGAGTGTTAGTTTCATGGGGAAGACGCACGTTGTGGTGGAGGAGAGCGCGTTTAGGAGGAGTTCCAGCTCCGTGAATCTTTGTGGCGGAGAGGATTGTGGTGGAGAGGATGGGGTCGGTGGTGGGGAGAGTGGATCGCCGGGGAGCTTGCCGGACCGGTTGATGTCGGAAATTTATCAGCATTTTGCGAACCGGACGAGTCCCGGCAGCGATAAGTCGAGGAGGCAGAGGAGGAGGGAGAAGGAGAGGTTGGCTAGGAGGAAATGGGAGACTCAGCATTTTGTGAAGATTGTGAATTGCTCTCCCACGCCATCACGGCCTTTGCAGGGCCTGTGGAAGGTGTTTCTTAACTGTTCCTTGTTTATATGCTCAGTTGTGTTTGGAGTGTTGACATGGCTTGGTGCTTTGATATCTGTCATGGGTCATTTGATGATTAATATAGTTAACTAGTTGAGCAGTTAGTGTACTTGGATGTTTAAGTCTTATATTGTGTTGGATAACAGCCTAATTGAGTGTTTATTCAAGAAATTATAAGGGATTTATACTACAGATTTGACCATGAAACTTATTGGTGTAAGTTGAAAAATATCTTATTTTGATAAGTTATATGAAGAAGCTTATTGAAATAAGCTGAAAAGGATTTATAAGAATCATAAACTGTTTTCATATGCTCAAAATAAGCTCTTCCAAACACACCCAATGAAACTGGTTAGTGTTAAAAGAAGAGGAAATGAGCATAAGAATGAACCATGGTCGTTGGTAATTGGGATTTAGGATGTGCCTAGCCGTTGAGAAAGATGGGGCATTTTTATCTTTGTGGTCTCTTGATTAGAATGTGGATTTGAATGATCCTGCGGAGTTGCATATCTATTGATGAATTATTTCAATATAGATAAGTAAGCAACGGTATGTCCTTGCTTGATGCATTTTGAGTGAACCGTGTTTATACTTCAAAATTTCCATATTCTTCTTAAATATATAATTACTTTGAAGATGAGTGATGGTGGAGCTCTTCAAGTGGTGGTACGAATGAATAGCATTTTGAGCTCTCTACTATCATTGTTGCAGGGAATTTGTGATGACATGAGTTTAGCCTTTTACCTTGTGGCATATGATGACATTGGGGGCATTGCCTGCCGCCGGATTGGGGATCATCCGGAACATTTTTCCAGTTATGGACCAGTTTTCTGGACATCTGATACTACATTTCTGGAATCACCCTTCTCTCTAGAGGAAGAATCTTTGTATGACAGTCGTATTCATCTTCGACCACTTCAACCACCAGATAATGACATACACGAGCAGTTCTCTTTGTCAGATGATGAAGTGGTAGATCGAATTCAGCAGTTCCATTTATCAGACAATGAAGTGGTAAACCGAATTCTTCACATAAGCTCAAGTTATGATTTATTTAGCCCAGAACTTGCTGGAACAATAAATCCAAGGAGTGCGGAGGGAAGGATTTGGCAGTACCAGAATGGTACTTTTGGATTTGGATTCCTTCGGGACAATTTTGTTATAGACATGAAACATATTGTCGACAATGGTTGTCTGGTGGATACAGTAAATACTTCTGCTGATTGATTCCCGTCTGCAATTTTTTTTTGTTCATAGATAAATTGTGTAGTTGGATGTCACCTAAATGTTGTGGCATAATGTATTATTAGCTGTGATAATAATAACAATTTCCTTAGATAGTATCCCGCCTCTCCTCCCCCACCCCAACACACACATACACACCTGTTGATGTTCGATGGCTAGCAATATCTACTTAATTGCAAGAGCATGCCATTCCCATTACTTTGCCTGCAACATCCTTTGGTTTGGAGTTTGGGCTCAACAATATTGTCGCAAATCTACAAATGAACTCTTAGCTTTTTTAGTAGCTATGTTTGGATATCTAATGACAAGTAAAATGGAATGGAATAGAATTATCATTCCATTTGTCCTTATATTTTGTGGTAGAATGGAGGAAAGTTTTGTTTCCATTTTATGGAAAGTGAACAGGTTGTGAAGAGATTAGTAAACAATAAGTTCGATCTATCTCATATCCTCAAATAAAAGCAAGGAGAATATATAAGTATTGAATGAAATGAGATGTTATAGATTTCATCACGTTTCATTTCATTCCATCATCCTTTTAAGTCAATCCGAATAATGACAACTAATGTCTTTTCATTCCTTTCTCTTACATTCCATCCTTTCTCATCAATTTAAACATAATTTGAAGTTATAACACTACCTTTATTTGTTCAGATATTTCCCTTCTATGATCACATACAGGACTCTTACCTCTGCTGCCAATATCCCAAAAGTTTTAAAATGCTAGAGCTAAAATGTGTTTGAATATATGCTGACTGAAATTGGGATAGAACCTAAATTCCAAAACATGCAATCAGCAAATATTTGGGTTTGTTTTCTTCTGCTGCCCCCGTATCTTTTATCCATAGTAGTCAATAGCAGAAATAGCGGCCGCAATTGCGGCGGAGCAGGGCGGCCCTTTCCTGTGACGGCAACGCTGTCGCGTCGCGTTTCACAGTAGCAGCTGTCGCACCGCGAATAGCGGCGGAAAACACCGAAAATAGCGGCTGGAGCGGCTGCTCTCTCATTCTCGCGCGTTTCCCCTTTTTGCCCCTCATCTTTTACCGTTAGGGCCCTTTAAGGGGGGGGCAATTTTGGAATTTTGACCCCCCTTATATTTCTGAATCATCTTCAACCCTAGCCTCCATCCATCTGCTCTCCTCTCTTCTCCCGTCGGCTCTCTCTCCTCTGTTCTCGGTTCTCTCTCCTCTGTTCTCAGTTTTCTCTCCTCTGTTCTTTGTTTTCCAGTGATCCTCTGTTTGCTGTGCTCTGTTTTTTCGGCGAGACTTCCACTTGATTTTTCGGTCATTTTCTTCGTCTCCGGCAAGCTTCTAAGGTGACCCAAACTATTTTGAGTCATTTTCTTCATCTCTTCTCATCTTCTTCCAGGTCAGCACAACTTTCCGGTCATCATCTCCAACTCCGGCAGACTTCTGGCGAACTTTCCGGTACTGAACATTTTTTTTCCCTATATTTTTCTCTATTTTTTTTCTCTTCTCTGTTTTGATTCTTCTATTATTTTCTGTTCGAAATTTCAAAGCTTAAAGAAGTAATATCTACTCCTCCCAATCTGTCACAAGGAACCGGCTCTCTGTTACAATTTCATCCTGTGCATTAGGTTGGTAATGGAATAGTTTGAAAGACATAAATAATAAAAAGTCTGTTACTTGTGACTTTTGTGGAAAAACGACTACAGGCGGTATTACCCGAGCAAAGAGGCATCAGATGGGAGTGAAGGGAGATGTTGATAAGTGTCCAAGGATTCCCAAAGAAATAAAAGAAACACTAATAGCAGCTCATGAAAAGAAGAGAATTGAAAAAGAGGTATATTTACTTCAGCATGATGAAGATGATGATGATGAAGAAGAGGTGCAAGAAATTCAAAATATTCGTAGTGGAAAACGACCTGCAATCTCAAGTGTTGCATCAGTTTATGTTAGTAGTTGTAATGCCACGAAAAAAGAAAAAAATGTCAAGGGGCCCATTGGATTTATTGTGGTTAAAGAGTCCAGAAACAAACATCAAATTAGCAAAATAAAAAAGACAAACAAGTATAAATGATGCTTGTGTCAAAGAGGCAAGAGCAAGAACAGTTCAATACACAGAGCGATTCCTTTGTAGGAATGGAATTGCTTTCAACGTTGTGTGCTCAAAAAGTTTCAAATTAATGGTTGAAGCTATTGGAAACTATGGTCCACATCTAAAGCCTCCTAGTTATCATGAGTGTAGAGTTCCTCTTCTTAAAAAGGAGTTAGAGTATACAAAGGAAATGTTGAAAAGTCGTGAAGAAGAAAGAGAAAAATGTGGATGTTCAATTATGTTAGATGCGTGGACGGATAAAAAAAAATAGAACATTGATCAATTTCTTAGTAAGTTGTCCAACTGGTTCTATGTTTGTAAAGAGCATTGATGCATCTGCTTATATGAAAACTGGAGAAAAGTTGTTTGAGCTCTTGGATAGCTTTGTTGAAGAGATTGGAGAGAAAAATGTTGTGCAAGTAGTTACTGATAATGGAAGTAATTATGTATTAGCCGGTAAGAATTATTCTTAACTCTCTCCATTAATTTCAGTTACTAATTATTTTATTAGTTTCTAATTTTAGACTATGTAATCTAATTTTAGGTAAGTTATTGCAAGCTAAAAGACCACATTTGTTTTGGACTCCATGCGCTACACACTATATTGACTTGATATTAGAAGACATTGAAAAAATACCTAGAGTCAAGAGAACAATCCAAAGGGGAGTTACTCTTGTGGGTTTTATTTATAATCATTCATTGACTTTGAATATTATGAGGAAGTTCACCAATAAAGCTGAATTGGTTAGATATGGAGTGACAAGGTTTGCCACAACATTCCTCACATTACAAAGGTTGTATAATCAAAAAAACAACCTAAGAAAAATGTTCACTTTCAATGAGTGGTTAAAGTCCAAAACAGCCAAAGAAGCTAAAGGAAAAAAAGGCAACAGACACTATACTTATGCCTTCTTTTTGGAATGATGTGGTTTTCTGTCTTAAAGCTATGGGGCCACTTGTGCAAGTTTTGAGACTTGTTGATAATGAAAGAAAGCCTGCAATGGGTTATATATATGAGGCAATTGATAGAGCTAAAGAAAGCATTCAAAATGCATTCAAAGGAAATGTAGACAAATATAAGGAGATTTTTGCTATAATTGATAGAAGATGGGAGTGTCAACTTCATCATCCATTACATGCTGCAGGTTATTATCTGAATCCTCAATTTTTTTATAGCAATAAACAAATTAAGAATGATCCTGAAGTTGTGGAAGGCTTGTATAAATGTATTGAGAGGCTATGTACAAGTGAAGATAATGTAGACAATGCTACAGTTCAATTGTCAACATATAGAAGAGCTGAAGGTCTCTTTGGTTTAAGTGGAGCAAAAAGACAAAGGGCTACAATGGCTCCTGGTAAGAGATTTGTTTAATTTTTTTATTGTAATGTAATTATGTAGATATAACACAAAAGGTTAATAAGTTGATGCATAACTTGCATCTGAATGGTGGAAGAATTATGGAGTACGTACACCACATTTACAAAAAATTGCTATTAGAGTGTTGAATTTGACTTATAGTTCATCTGAATGTGAACAAAATTGGAGTACTTTTGAGCACATAAGTAAATATCTGAATTCTCAATTTAAAGTTCTTATATGAAAAGTGAAAATCTAATATTTTTTTTATGGTAAAATAGATTCATTCTAAAAAGAGAAGCAGACTTGAGCATTAGAGGTTACAAGACTTGGTTTTTATTAAATATAACCAAACTCTTAATGAACGTTTTGAGTGTTCTAACGTGGTGGATCCTATTATCTTAAAGGATGTTGATGATAGTAATAATTGGTTGCTAGAAGGAATAGCTGGAGATGATGAAGATACTGTAAATGAATTAGTGTTTGATGATGATAACTTGACTTGGGGAGCTGTTGCTAATGCAATTGGGGCTAGTGAGCCTATAACCTACACTAGGCGATAAGCTAAATCAAAACCCAAGACAACTACAATTGCTTCTTCATCTAAATCTAAGGAAAAAGGGAAAGAAATTGTACAAGAAGAAGAAGAAGAATGTGATGACGAAGACTTTGAAGAAGAGGATGAGGAGGAGGAGGAGGTTCTTTACAAAAGTAGTGATGAAAGTGAAAATGAAGAAGACATGACAAATCTTGGAGATGAAGATGATGATAATTATTAAAATATTTGTATTTGAATTAAACACTTAGTATTTTTAAACATCTAAGCATTAGAGACTTAAATTTAGTTAGTTAAATTTATTTTTATATTTTGTTGTTACTTGTTATTGACATCTAAACATATATATATGTGTGTAATTTAATTTATGAGTTTATGAGTATATTTATAATACCTAAAATAGCGGCCATCCCGCTATCCGCTATGCGTCTATAGCGTTTTTTAGGTCGGCCGCTCCGCGCCGCTATCCAGGATTGACTACTATGCTTTTATCCGAACAACTGAAACGTATTTGATTGTTTTCCATTTTTGTGGTTATAGTTGTCTTGAAAGGGAGTATCCTTTCCCAGGTACTTACACGCCCTTGCTTTACAAGTATGAAAAAAGTTCTCATTGTGCGATGTTCAATTGAGATGGAATAGAAAGTTAGTTGCGTTCCTGTATAGTAATTGGACGAGAGTTGTGCACAAGCGTAGTTGTGCGATGTTCCTGTATAGTAATATGGTATTGTGACGTATGTATATAGTAATATCAATAGGAAGTCAATGAGGGTTTCAAGAAGTGCAGTAACATGTACTTCTGAATCACACATTCTGAATCAAACGCTCACAACAGCAAAAACAAATGATGAAGATCCACACACTTCAACTAACACAAAATTGAATACCATATTTGTCACGGGTAAAGAGCTTCCCGGACTGCAAGTAATGGTAAAAGCATGAGAGATAGCAGAAACATGGTCCACAAATATGGAACATGAGAAAGGGGAAATTCTGAGGCTCAGAACTCTTTTCATCATGTCTCCGCAGCAACTTCTTCACCATTGATTTTTCCCTGCATTGAACTCTTCTCATTGTCTCCTTCCAGCTGGCTTAAATTGCCCTTCTCCTTGATCAATTGGATATGGTGGTGTTTGCAGTAGAGTTTTCCCTCGTGTGCTATGTAATTGGAGGGACTGATAACACACCCTCCATGGCAGCATTTGAAACAGCTCTTATGGTAAGGAGTTCCATTAACAGTAACCTATGTCATTATAAAATATTGATTTCATAAGCATTTGATAGTGTTAGCGGACAACAGTTATGGTTGTGTTATTTACCTTCTCAGTGGGATACACCGTTTTCTGACAACCAGCACATTTATCCCTTGTTCCACCAAACATACTTGAGACTTTGGCTGCTGCAGGTTTCTAATTAAAACAGCGGAAAAATTAGATGAACGCTGGAAAACTCTGTTGTGCACTACAAGTACCTAGATTTAGGATTTATTTACCTCATCCATATTTTTTTCTGGTTTGGCAATTTTTGGTGTCCCTAGTTAGGCAAAAAAAGGAATTACAGTTGAGTTAATGAGAAGAAAAGTTTAGTGAGGCATTTAATAATTCTATTATTGATCCTTGGTTACCTTCGAAGCTTTTGTCAAGGCTACCAGTTCTTTTGAACAGTTGATCGAAGTGTGGCTTGCAATAAAGAACTCCCTCAAAAGAGTTATAGTTGCTAAGCTGCAGATACATTAATCTGTTAGCAAACTTCATCTTATGAAAATTGCAATGTGGTAACTAGCCTTAATACACCAAATGGTAAAGTTATTCCCATATTATGTGTCCATCTTCTAAACCAGAGAATGCTTATTCCAGCAAATTCACATGCCTTCTAAGAACAACCAATTGCAGACACCAGATCCAAAGCTAGAAGCCTGAACTAGACCATATATGAACAAGAATTGGCAGAGAGAGAGAGAGAGAGAGACCTTCAGGGTTCCTTTGCAGTGGTGGCATCTGAAGCAAGCTTTGTGGAACACTCGGTTATCCGCAGTCAACTTATCAACCAGATAAACAGTTTTGTCACAGGCCATACACTTTTGGGTTGTTCCTGCAAATGCCATTCTTTCGTATCTTCTCAACTTACAAAGGTGCAAGCAGGCTATGATCTCTGCCTGTGTATCTATCTATTTGAGTTCTGTTTATTGGTTTGCCACTAAAGGGAAGAACAGGACAATGAAGATTGAAGAGGAGACAAGAAAAAAAAAAGGGAAGGAGGCAGAAATTTGCGGAGACTAAAGCAAACTTCCTTACAATTATAATGTCACAGACAATCATTTTTGTCAAATTTTAAGCACCTAACTACACTTTTCTCTCGTATATTTTAATGTTCTACCCCTGTATTCAACTGTAAATATAAATGCGTAAAAACTAAGGAAAACAATAAGTTTAACATGATTTTTTTTTATTGCCAAAACTCTTGTGCATCATTTCTCTAATTGCACAGTTCACATCATTAACAAAATTAGCATATTCTCACTTGGGAACATGGATTCATTGCCTTTTGCCTCAAAGTCCTTCCTCTCCACTTTCTATCATACATCAATAAATTTAAATTAACTTGCAACATCTTTTCAATAACTCTCTCTTAATTATTAAATAAAAGTATATTAATAAATTTATTAAATATATTTATCTTTTCGTTTCATATTTTTTATATAAAATACTAGGATATTATACTAAAATAGTCATATAACCCACAAAAAATTATTAATACCAAGTAGGCCCTCTAATTAAGTCCCATATTAGGGTATTAACTAGTTGCTAATTATTAAAATAGATCTCCCAAAAGCCTAAAAATCCGAGAGGGTAATCAGATTCTTCGTATAATATTTAATCAATGTGTATTTCATTAGAAAGCAACTTTGTAATCGTGGGGTCCCATGGCTTCAAAATTGCAACTGCCAGCAACTTATCATTCAACATCCAGCTGGCTTGCTTTCAGTCTTGAATCTAACTTTTGAAATAGCAACACATAATTTCTTGAGTTACAAGGATGGATGAAGTTTCATTTATGTCTCTGATGGACCAAACTAAGCACCTTTTCCAACATACAACCTCGGGTAATTGTATAGGCAATCTAGATCTAGAAAAGGTTTGCTATTCTTTTCATTTTCATAATATCACATCTAATACAATTATGGATCTAGTTAGGAGTAAATCTCTTTAAATATTCGGGTGGGTGAAAATATTTATTTATATATTTTACATAAATGAACAACTATTAGATGATTAAATAAAGTTGAGAGATAAGTAAATGTCTCACACTCTGTGATTTGGCACAAAGCTTCAATGATGGGTTGGGTGGGGTGTATGTGTACGTGCTATGGTTATTGCCATCTAAGCCTCCCACTCCAATTATGATGACAGCGTGTTTAATCTATTACTGTCCCACTACAAAAACTTCACTTTGCAACTTCTTAACAAGGTTCATTTCGTCATTTGGGTCTCTTTCTTGTTATTCTAAACAACATTATCTATATTTTGATAACCAGGGCATTTGGTCTAGTGGTATGATTCTCGCTTTGGGTGCGAGAGGTCCCGAGTTCGATTCTCGGAATGCCCCATCGTTTAAAGTTTTTATTTGTCAAATTTGTGTTCTTTATTCTGAATTGCTTATAAGTCTGCATTTAACAGATTGTATAGGGAAATTTCTGAGATAGATATGGTGCACCACATTTGGTATGCAATCATATTTAAATGTAAAATTTGGTATAATGTGGGGTGGTAATATTCTGCCAAACATTTTTTTTTCTCCTTTCCTATCTAACTTGAGTTTTGAATGCTATGTAGGATGGGAGTGATTCATATCAACCTGTAAAATTTGCCCCTGCTTCTATGAATCTAGATAAAGCTTCAAAACATGAAAGAAGTTACTTGCCAAGAGAAAAATAAACTATGAATCAGGCTAAGCAGATTCATCAGAGAAATGTTAGCAACACAGCACCCCTTTATTTGCAAAAATTTATTAAAATAAAAAAATAATAATCTTTTGCATCTTTAAATATTTATTATGTAGTTATTTACATTTATTTATTCTTAAACCCCTCTTGTTTTCCCTCTTGTTTTCTTATAATTTTGCATGTATCCATTGTAAAAAATGATTTAAGGTAGTTAAAAGATAAGATTGATGACAAAAACAAAATCAACAATCAACAATCAGCAAAAATGAATCCTAATTTTGGTTACTCATAAAAAATTGTCAAGTTCAAGAAAATGGAAAAAATTAAATAAATGTTGGTGAGAAAATAGGAAAAATCTTGTAGAGAAATGAAATTGTTTTCATTATTGAAGGCAAGAGGAATATCAGGAGGAAGAAGAATATTCATGATTCTATTAGCTCCTTAATTATAAAAACTTTTTGATGAGTACCTAGGCTATTCATCAACTAATTCTACATTAATTTTATGTTTAATGCACTAAATGACATTTTAAAATTTTCAAGTACAAATATATTAACAATAAGATTCAAAATAAAAGAGATAATTATATCATGTATTCTTTTTACATCTTAATTTCTCAAATTATTAATAATTTTTTTAAAAAAATATTAGCATTATATTAAACTAATTTTAAACTCAAAGAACTATAAATATGCCCATTATATTAAATTAATCCATAACTATTACAAGCTTTGTAACTCAATAAAAGAGATCGATCTATTCCTCAAAATATGTAAATAAATATTCAGCATTCATTTTATTTTTTTTACAACTCCTAAAAGTTATCATCTATGCTCAAAACTGAAATTAATTTCTCTACAGCATTCTTCCTATTTTTTTCACTAACATTTCCTAATAATTTTCTTAAACTGGATATTTTTTAAAAATTTCTTTTACGAGCAACCAAAATCAAGATTCTATTTTGGTAATTGTTTATTTATTTTCATCATCAGTCTAATCATTTAATTGTTATAACTTATTTTCACAGGTAATCACCAAAGTTATTATCTTAACAAACTCTACCTTACTTTTATATTTTGTGTATCTAAATACCATTTCAAAATTCAGGTAAAAAAATCTTAATAATAAGATTCAAAATAAAGTAGATAATTATATGATATATACCCCAAAAAAAAGTAAGCTAAGTATATAACATTGTTCAAATAATTGAACTGGTTATTCCGCTGATACATATCTGTTCTTCATTGACTGCGATCTATAAAAATAAAATAATGCTTTGGATTGAATTATGGTATATCACAGCACTTCTTGCGAGTATTATGGTATATCACACTAATTGTTGCTGACATGTTCTTAAATTTTTCAGTAAACAGAAAATCACTAATAAAAAATGATGAATTGAATTTGGACAATGCAAATCGTCTAAATATAAGGAGATAATAACAAAGTCTGAATCAACAATATTTTTATTGCATGACATCATGGCTGCAATCACTCTAGAGGAACAAATTAGGGTGACTTTAGTTAGGGAATTTAATTAATTCAGACAACTGTGCAATTTCATTAGTACTTACCCAAATCATTGAGTCAATCCAATTGAAACATGGAGAATTTAGTACACAAAAATAACATTTTAATATTACGAGACATTCAGTGTGATTTGGGTTAAATTATTCTTATTTTACTTTTGTAAATTATTTTTCATTTTTAATAATACAATTTTTTCTTTATCTATCTGTCACATTATTATTTTTTAGTAAATATTTTTTATTTATCTCTTGCATATAAAAATTATAGTATAACTACAAATATAATTACTCTGGTGAGTTTAAGTGCTAACCCAGTTTCAGATTATATGATTTTACAAAACTAATCAATAAAAGAATACGATTATCAGCCAAATTTTCAAACATACTCTGTTAAACTTACATCAGAAAAAATATATTATATATGAATTCTTGACGTTCACAAAGACCACCCCCATTGTTTTTCGTTGACAACTACATTTACCATCATTAATTTCAAGCTTCATATTCAAACCATGTTCCTTCTAGAAGACATTATAGACAGATATAAATAAAAATAATGGCGGCACTTTGGAACCTGTTACAGTTCTGAATGAAAAGACTGATTCCATACCCTCTTCAACAAGAAACATGTTCTCTGTAGTCTAATTTATAATCCTTGGCTCACTTTCTACGGCACTATACTCAATATATATTCATATTATTGAGTAAATGGTCAAGAAAGACTATACTAAATAGATAAGTTACTGTTATTTTTATGTGTTTATTGTTATATATATATATATATTTTAAAATTACTATTAATTTGAAAAATGAATAAAAAATATTTTAAATAAAAATAACAGTAAACACATAAGAATTATTATAAAAAAAATCTTTATTTCTTTCCCCTCCATTTAAATTAGTCAAAGATCATTTGGAAGCTTCGATAAGATCATTGCATTTAAAAGTTTAAACCCTTTATTTTGAGTTGACTTTGAGGAATGCCCTGGTCTAGTCATCTATATCTTTCTCTGTTTAAACCCAATAGCTAGATATCATAGCTTATTCCCAAAACGCCTCAAAGCAACACCTTGTGCACCTAAATTAAAACATCTTTTCCATGCATACACTAAACCCTTTTGTTTGTGGAACTTTCCATAACGAAGATGATGAACCATGCAGAAAATACAACAGAAAAAATAGTAGGAACAACAACCCTTACTCCAATCGTGGCCTAGACAAGTTTTCCGCACTTTTGTCTGATCTTGATGAGAAAAGGCAAAAGATTTATTCACAAATGAACCCTCATGATATTTCTTTTGTTCGCTTTGTGCACTCCAACACAAACGATTTTGTCCCTGTGATCGTGAAGGTTAAAAACAACAAGGATCAGAAACACAAGAGCCAAGAACTGAGAGTGGTGAAAGCAAGAATTTTGAGTCTTACCCAAGAGTCAACGGACAAGTCTTCAACCGAATCCATGGCTAATACTGCTGAAGAAAGAGAGCAACCCAAGATGGAAACTGAGACAAAGAGCTTCTTTTGGAACATGAAGAAGAATTTGGATATAAGGAATATTTCTTCGTATTTTCCAGTGGTTATTATATCAATTTTGTTGTTCTTGACTGCGTTTGGAAGATCAGGTGCAACTATTTGCACCTGTGTTTTGTGGTATGTGATTTCTACATTGAAGGGTAGATTAACAATTTCTACATTCAAGGTTATGAAGAAGCCTTCTTTCTATTTGCCAGTGATCACAACATCGACTTTGTTGTTATTGACTGTGTTTGGAAGATCAGTGACAAGTCTTTGCATCTGTGTTTTGTGGTATGTGATCTTCGCATTGAAAGATAAGTCATCAAACCAAAGGACATCGATGGAGAAGAAAGATGTAAGAGTGGTGAGTGAGAAGAAGGTGGTGGCAAATGAAGGGACCAAGAAAAAGAACTATGTTAGAGGGTTGAGTGAGAAGAAGATGGTGGTGGCTGAAGGGAGCAACAAGAAGAAAGATTTTGTTAGATGGTGGAGTGAAAAGAAGATTGCCACATCGGGGTTACTTTCTCCAAGAAGGGGTGATTCTGATGCTTCCAAGAACAAGATTCAAGGACAACATACCCATAAGAAAAGCAGTTGATAGTGAAGACTATTATCTGCTATTCATTTTCCTTTTTGTTTCTTCTTACTATTTCCATTTCTGAATTAGGAGAAAGTTTCTTTTTTTTTTTCATTTTGTTGGTGTGAATACGTGTAGTTTCCTTGGTGATGGGTTGAAAATTCAATTCTTCTCGTTACATTTTTTTTGAGTGTAAAGTACGGTAGAATTAGATGGCAATCCATGCCACGCCATGTTATGTACATGGGGTGGTTAATTGGTCCTAAGGTTCTTGAAATTCAAGTGATGCCAAATGATAAAAGTTAGGTAACTGATCGAGATTACAGAAGATCTAAGTTGTTTTGTGCCCATGCCACCATAATGAATAATAGTACCTGCTGGAGCAATGGATTTTGATTCATTCATGCTGTTGAAAACAAAATAGAAGAAAAAATTTCAAGATCAATATTTTTAGTGCAGTTTAGTCCAATAAATTAGTTCCTATACCACGCTTGTTTTAGAATCGTTACATTTTGAAGAATTTGGCATGAAATAAAAGAAAATGAACATGATATTCAAAATATTTAACAAGTCATGGTCATTCTCTTACTAAGAAGAATATTGCGGATTTTGAGGGGGAAATCCCAAGTAGTTTCCTCTGACTTTTTCTTTTTCCCATTAAGAATCGTGATCTCTTCATGAGAAAATTGTGGAAACAACATCATGTTTTGAATTTTCCTGATGATTTCATTTGTATTTTTTCTTGTCTTTTCGAAATTAGGGGAAAAGAACTTCCTTACTATCCTGGTTCTTGGCAGGTGGAATAGCCCCCAAGCATATATTTTGGGTAATATTACAGAAATGTTCTGCATCGTAAGTTTAACTCAGAGTCACTAGTGTTCACTTTTATTTTGCCTTTTAAAAGAAGTGTCCAATCTACTTAGAAGAAATTTTTGGATAAATCTCAGACACTCAAATTAGTTATACTAAATCAATAAAAAAATTGACACATTGTGGATTGCGATAATTAATTATTAATGCATCAACATTTTATCAGTAACATCGTTTTATATATATATATATATATACACACACAAGCTTGGTGGTGACTATGTCAGTCGACAATTACGATCCTTATTATTGGATAAAAAAACATTCCATAAATTCCTCTACTAAGCTTGCCAGCTATCGATTGCTTCGATTCGGATTCGGACTTAGTCCATGTTCCTGCCATCATCTTATATATCCAAAAAAATAAAAAGATAAATTCTGTAATATACTACCGTATATAAAAAATTCTAACAATAATATTTAAACAAGTATTTAAATAATAAATTATTATACTTGTTGTATTTAAATAAGTTAAAAAATGATTAAATCTTTAAAATAAGATGCAATTAAAACAAAAAAAAACCTAAAATATAAAAATAAAATAATAATATTATATCAATAAATTTTTATTTATAATAAATAAAAAAATTTTGAGCATAAATTATATTTTATTTAAAACTAAAAATTTATAAAAAATAAAATAAAAAATTCAATATATAATAATAATAATATTATTATTATTATGTAAAAAAATAATATAATTTTAAATAAATTATATATAATAATATATTTTTTAATTTATCATATTTTTTTATTGGATAAATTTTTTAAATATGATATCTATAAAACAAAAACTTTTAGAGTATCACAGCACACACCAAATAAAAAATTTCCAACTAAGCATTTTGCTTTCCTCATCTTTTTTTTTTTTTTCTACTTCTTTTAGGGTGATGGAGCCATTTACTCATTGATAATCCACGTAGGTCTTGACACAGTTTAAGACTCAAGTCAAGTTCTGCATAAGTATTTATTTTAAATAAAAACTTCTCTTTTAAATTAAAATCAACTTATACACTTCAAATTTCAAAAAAATTAAATAAAAAAGTTAATTCATTTTTTTTTTTAGTTGTATTCCTTATATATACTTATTAAAAAATTTATTCAAATTTATTCTAGTCTAATTTTATGCATTACTATAATGTAAGCTCAAATAGTAACAGGGAGCGTCCTATCGCAAAATCAGTAGAAAATCATATGATTTGTGCAAAAAAATTAAAAGTTCATGCACTTTGTTTTCAAAGCATATTTCTACACCAACCATTTCCGCATAAGACAAGTAATAATTAGTGTATGTTTGAAAACAACGTTAGAAAACTTATAAATATACATCCAATGAAAAGCTATAACTAATTGTATATTTGAACAAACATTTTCAAACGTCTCAAAGAATTTAATTTTGTAAATTAATTTTATTTAAAAGTTTAAAGTGATGTGATTTAAAGACATGTTATCTCAAACGCAAGTTTAAAAGACAATCAATTATGTCATAAAACAACCAAAAACCCACATTTATACTCCAAATTGAGTTCGGAGACTTTTAACACGCATCCAAACAAGCATTAATAGCATTGATTTAGCATGGACCCAATGCTATTAATAGCTATAGAAAAAGCTGTCATGATTTAGCAAGATATGCAATATTTTGCAGTGAGTTCAAAGAGATACATTGATACAACATGAAAAGCACCATTCTTCTCACTATCATTTTACAGGACACCCACAAATGATATTAACTTAATTCAGCCAACCTCACAGATTTCGGCCCAACAAAATAAAGATTTCCTTTTTGGAAGAGCTAACTAAAATAAGTGCGTGCTGTCTGCTGTTAATGATAATTGACCGCACCGCATCACAGGAAAAGAAAGGAACTGTTTAGAAAAAGAATTCGATACAGCTTTGATTTAATAACTAATCATAGTTTGGAGCAGTGATTTTAAGGAGTTAATACCGATGATCTCTGAAGATATTCCCATTATCCCACGTGATATGCTTGAGTAGACCCTAAAAGGATCAAGTCAATGACCCTAAGAAATTGAATGCAGTCCACATAACAGAACATTCTACGAGTCTAATCTGGAGGTCAGTCTAAAATTAAAATGCGTTCAAATTTGTACCCAATAATTAAAAGAGATTTCCAGTCCTTATTCCTGTATTAAGTAAAGGAGTTTTTAGTCAATATTGGCAGACTTGCCATCGCTACAGATGGTCAAACTGGTGAGCCAAATGGCATCAACAGAAAATAATGCTTGGAACAAAGAGAGACACTTGAGAATTGAGATACCAAAATCTAACCTTGAATCTCCTCCGGCGGACATTTTCTGGACTGTGGCGAGAGATGTGGGCCTGATGTCTGGGAGCTTCACTTCTGTAATGATCTGCTGCTATTGTGGATACTGTGTCGTTCTTCTCTTGCGCTTGATTCCTTGAATTCCGAAAAAACCCATCTTTGTCCCAACTAACATCATAATCAGCCTTCAATCGTGATCCTTGCTGTACATTGACAACTCATAAATCGTCACCAATAAATCATTTATAAGGCATGAACATATCTAAGCTTTCAAATTTGCAAAATATTCTTCACGTCAATTGCTACCCATTTTTCATCAGTGTTATGAACATGTAAGAAGTGTTGTGAACATGTAAGTTGCATATGAAGATTTCTTGATAAACAATGCAACATAGAAAACAGAAAATGACTTGAGAGATCAAAGAAAGAGAGAGAGAGAGAAAAGGACGATACGGATTTACGTGGTTTACCCTTTGCATGGGCTACATCCACGGGAGCAGTATGATCACTTGTTTATTTTTTAGTAAAATTCAAAAAAGAGATACAATAAAGTGTCGTAAGATACCCTATATATAGATTGGGTTGTTTCACATGGTATACGTCGTAACTGAATTTAACTAACAAAAACAGCCAATCCAGACTAGCTGTTCTTTGACAGCAAGGCTGATTACTTAAGATCCAAGGTATGGTTAACAATTCTCCACCTTGCATTGGAGTCTTAGGCTAAGCTTCAGATGTGATGCTACTGCCACCTGTCCCTAAGAACTATTTCCACTTATCAACATTAAGCAAGTCCAAGCAATGCATGAACTTGCTTCTTGGGACCGATTTTGTGAACATATCTACGGGATTATGCTTTGTGTCTATCTTCTGAACTTTTATCCTTTTCTCAGTTCAGATGAAGTGGTGTCTAACATCTATATGTTTGGTCCTTTCGTGATGAACTTGATCTTTAGCCAAGCATATAACACTCAAACTATCACAGTAAATTACGGCATAATCTTGAGGGTAACCAAGGTCTGTGATTAAGCCCTTCAACCATATTCCCTCCTTTGCTGCTTCTGTCAAAGCCATGTATTCGGCTTCAGTGGTAGATAGAGCCACTGATGGTTGGAGTGTTGATTTCCAGCTTACAAGAGAATTACCTAATGTGAAGGCATATCCAGTAATAGATTTTCTTCCATCTTGGTCAATTGCATAATCTGCAGCTGAGTACCCTGCTAAGGTGCAGTCTTTATTGGCATCATAAACCAGTCCAACATCTGAGGTACCCTTAAAATATCTAAAAATTCTCTTTGTTGCTTGCCAATGCTCCTTTTGAGGTGAGTGTAGGAACCTGCTGACCACGCTAACTGCATGTGCTAGGTCAGGTCTTGTACATACCATAGTGTACATGAGACTTCCAACAACACTTGCATAAGGTACACGATTCATGTATTCCTTATCTTCTGTAGATTGATGAGCTTGAACAGAAAGGTGATTCTTAGCTGCCAGAGGAGTACTTAAGTGTTTTGCAGTGACCATTCCAAACTTCTTCAGAATCTTCTGTATGTATTCCTTCTGTGACACAAATAGCTTTTTGTTCATCCTATCTCTATATATTTTCATGCCGAGGATCTTTTGAGCAGGACCAAGATCCTTCATGTCAAATTCTTCACTCAACCATGTCTTTAATTTCTGAATTTCTGACTTGTTTTGAGATGCTATGAGCATATCATCAACATAGAGTAAAAGATATATCATAGCATCACCCTCCACCTTGCTGTGGTAAACACAGCAGTCATAGGGGCTTCTTTGAAAATCTTTGCTGATCATGAAGCTGTCAAACCTCTTGTACCACTACCTAGGAGATTGCTTTAACCCATACAACAACCTTTGTAGTTTACAGACATAGTCTTCTTTTTCATTAACTTTGAAACCTTCAGGTTGAGTCATTAAGATGTCTTCATCCAATTTTTCATGTAAAAACGTAGTTTTCACATCTAGTTGCTCTAGTTCCAGGTCTTGACATGCTACAAGAGCAAGTAGAACTCTTATAGAGGTGTGTCACACAACAGGTGAGAAGATCTCGTTATAATCCACTCCTTCCTTTTGACTAAACCCCTTTGCCACCAAATGTGCCTTGTATCTTATTGAATCAGTTCCGGGAATACCATCTTTTCTTTTGAAAATCCATTTGCATCCCACTACATATCTTCCTTCAGGTTTCTTGATCAGCTTCCATGTTTGATTTTTGTGAAGTGATTCCAATTCTTCTCTCATGACAAGTATCCATTTGTCAGCATCATGTCCATTGATAGCTTCCCTGTAGTTATTTGGTTCTGGATTGTCAACCTCTTCAGCTACATGGAAGGCATAGACAGTTATGTCTTCAAAACCATATCTGATTGGAGGTTTAATAACCCTTTTTGATTTTTGTTGACCTTCCTGATCAGTTTGGTTGTCAGCTTGACTAGATTTCTGATTGAGTGAGTCTGATTCTGATTCATCATCTGAAGAACTTGACTGAACAGATTCTGAAGTATTCATATCACATTTTGATTTATGAGGAGTAGTGTGATTCTCCACTTGTTTGGGCACCTGTGACATTTCTTTTGAAACATACTTAAAATTTTGGTCAGACATAACAATTTCATCAAAAAATAACATCTCTGCTTAATATAACCCTTTTTTCAGATGGTGACCAAATTCTGTATCCTTTTACCCCTTCTCCATATCCCACAAATATTCCTTTCTTAGATCTAGGTTCTAACTTATCCTCATTACTGTGATAATAAGCTGGACACCCAAAGACTTTAAGCTTAGAGTAATCTGCAGATTTGTTTGACCATATTTCAATTGATGTTTTACAGTTAATAGCAGTTGAGGGAGATCTGTTGATCAAATAACAAGCAGTGATGATGGCTTCTGCCCAATACCTTGTATCTAAATCAGCATTAGATATCATACACCTGGCTCTTTCCAATAAGGTCCTATTCATTCTTTCAGTTACTCCATTCTGTTGTGGAGTATTTCTAACTGTTAGTTGTCTTGAAATACCATGTTCCTTGCAGAAATCATTAAATTCAGTTGAACAGAATTCAAGACCATTATTAGTTCTAAGACATTTAACTTTCTTGTCAGTTTTGTTTTCAACTAAGTTTTTCCAGTCTTTGAAATTTTTAAAGGCCTGATTCTTATGCTTCATTATGTAGATCCATGTCATACTTGAATAATCATCAATAATGGATAAGAAATACCTAGCACCTCCAAGAGATAGAACCTGTGATGGTCCCCAGTAATCAGCATGAACATAGTCCAGGATTCCCTTGGTGGTGTGCATTGATTTAGGAAACTTCACTCTATGTTGTTTTCTGTAGACACAGTGCTCACAGAAATTGAGCTTTTGAAAAACTTTGTTGCCTAGAAGTCCTTGCCTATTAAGGATCAACATTCCTCTTTCACTCATGTGTCCAAGTCTCATATGCCATAAGTATGTTGAATCTGACACATAGTCAACTGATTTGGTTAGAAGTGAAACTCCACCTGCTTCCTTAGCTGTTGATCCTTGTAGTATGTATAGGTTTCCTCTCTTTGTTGCTCTCATGACAGTAGTTGAGCCTTTCCTTATATTCCAAATCCCATTTTCTCCATCCCATTTGAATCCTCTAGAGTCCAAAACTCCCATGGAGATCAGATTGTTCTTCAGTTCAGGTACATATCTGACTTCAGTGAGAATTCTAATTGTTCCATCAAACATCTCAAGTTTGATAGATCCTATTCCTGCAACTTTACATGGTGTGTGGTCTCCCATAAGAACATTCCTGCCAGATCTATCTTCATATGTATGAAACCAGCTTTTGTTTGGACACATATGATAAGAACATCCTGAGTCAAGTAGCCATTGTTCCGCAGAATGTTGAGGGTGATCAATAATTGACAGCACTAACTCAGTTTCAGATGAGGAATCTTCCTGTACATTTGCAACTGTTGACTTTTGTTTCTTCTTCTTTGGACAATCTTTCTTCCAATGTCCCAGTTCTTTGCAATAATTGCAGATATCCTTTGGATCAAATTTCCCCTTTTTCTTACCTTTATCCTTCTTATTTTTCTGGGTTGAATCTGTGACCATGAGTCCAACTCCATTGCTGTCTTCATCATTTCCTGAAACCTTGTTCCTCAATTCTCTTGAGTGTAGGCTGGATTTCACTTCCTCCATGGTAATGCGATCTTTGCCAACACTTAAGGAATTAACGAAACTTTCATATGAATGGGGCAATGAGGCTAACAAAATCATAGCGGCATCTTCATCCTCTACCTTGACATCAATATCTCTAAGTTCCATTAAGATGAAATTTAATTCATCTAAATGTTCCTTTAGAGATGTACCTTCCTTCATTTGAAAGTTGAATAGTCATCGTTTCAGGAGCAACTTGTTGCATAAGGATTTTGTCATATAGAGTCTTTCAAGCTTTTGCCACAGACCACTTGCTGTATCTTCATTTGCTACCTCGTACACCACTTCATCCGATAGAGATAGCAGAATCATCGAATGTGCTTTCTCTTCTTGTTCTGCAAGTTCTTCCTTCTTCTCCTCTATGATTTCCTTCTTCTTCTTCTTCATTGAGACAGACGAAAGAGGCCCCCATAATCTTTGTTCTTTCAACAAAGCTCGCATCTTGATGCGCCATAGGTTGAAGCTGTTCTTGCCATTGAATTTCTCAAATCTCAGAGTTGTTGCCACTGTTCTTTGAACGCTTCTTGCATGATCTTGCAGCGGAAAAGATCAAGTTATTGAAGGTTGAATGTTAATATGGCCTTAGAGATGGTAATCTTGATTCGGTCCCTTCGAACTTGGCTCTTGATACCAATTGTTGTGAACATGCAAGTTGCATATGAAGATTTCTTGATAAACAATGCAACACAGAAAATAGAAAATGACTTGAGAGATCAAAGAAAGAGAGAAAGAGAGAAAAGGACGATACGGATTTACGTGGTTCACCCTTTGCATGGGCTACATCCACGGGAGCAGTATGATCACTTGTTTATTGCTGAGTAAAATTCAGAAAAGAGATACAATAAGGTACCGTAAGATACCCTATATATAGATTGGGTTATTTCACATGGTATACGTCGTAACTGAATGTAACTAACAAAAACAGCCAATCCAGACTAGCTGTTCTTTGACAGCAAGGCTGATTACTTAGGATCCAAGGTATGGTTAACAATCAGCTATAATTGCCAATATGAAGCAAACCATAACTGCTATTTTGTTATCAGATTCAGCAATTGCCATAACACTTCTAACCACTTCCGTTACCAGCACAAAGAATGAGATTGCCTAATTATGTAAATATTGATCCATCGTGAAATAACAACACAACCCAAAAAGTTCATACAAGATAATGACAATAAAGATGCAAGATTTTATCGCAGGGCTTTATTAGACACTCTGGTTATGTATGATTTCACAATAAGTGAATAAAAATAAGTCAGAAACTAAGCCAATACCTTTTGCAATGAGCGACCACACAGCACTCTCAATGCATCATGGAAGTCTCTATATTTTTCAAACTGAACCACAATCTTGCAGTAAAGGCCTGAAACTAGGTCTCCACCGTCTTCATCTGCATCCTTACCTAGATCATCATCCTCAGCAACATTAAGATTCCTATTGAACGCAAGTCATCGAGCAAGGGGATTAGTTATAGTAATGTGGGAGCTCAGTAACGTAAATAAGACAATTCTCAGTCTCACAAAGGCAATACAAACATTATCTAAACCTTCAGAAGGCTTTATGAAGGACAAATCACCACTCTGCCAAAGAACTGCAGGTTAAGAAGGTTCATAGAATATCTCCGTAGCTTTTCAAGTTTATTCATGGACTACGTTCTTCCCTTTTTCTGGTTTGAAAAAGAAAATAGGAAGAGAGGAAACTACCCCCAACATAAAACCAGGACATGGCACAAGCCTCAGCAAGGGCTCTTGCTTACAAATGATCTTTACATAGGCCTTAAGTTAAAGCTTAAGTGATGTTCAGAAGAATTTATAAATAGTTTATGACTCTTATAAGCTCTTTTAACTTCTTTCAAACAGATTTTTTCATATAGCTTATCAAAATAAGCTTTTTTTCATCTTATATCAATAAATTTCATGATCTAATTTATAGTATAACCTCCAAAAATTCTCTTCAAGTTATAAAGAAGTTAAAACGAGATTAGCTTCAAAAAAATAGAGAAGTATAAGTTAATTTTAACTTATGGGAGGACTTTTATGAATCTTTTATATTGTTTTTCTTCTCTTACAGAGACTTATCCACAAACTTACCCAAACAGGGCCTTAGTTTATTCCAACAAATTTCACAATCAAATGTATATTGCAAAGCCTTATGTAACAAGAACTTATTGAATAAACACTTAAGAAAACTGTGTATCCAAATGCACCATCAATACGACTTTAGCTCAACATATTTTAAAAAAAGAATCATTTATTTTTCTAACTTTCGAAAGAACTTCTGAAAAATAAGCAATTGAAAAGAAGTATTTACACTACTTACCAACAGAGCTAACAACCAAAGAGAAAGTAACCCATGCGTCTTAATAAATATCCCAATCAAGTGGAACCTTCAATTCAACAAAATACCAATCCAAAAACACGTAACAGCAACGATCTGAGAAATGCCAGTAAAGCACTCTTTTAAACACAGTCTTCAATATTCTTTCTTAAATTGATCATTATTTAAAAATTGCTTTGACTTTTAAAAAAATTTAACCAATTATAGGAAACGTGTTGAAGAAAGTCGTCACAAGCACTTCTCATCGCAACAACAATCGCAAATTGAAGCCCTAATTCTTATGTACCTTATTTTGCCAAATGTGGAAAAGATGGTATGAGTGACGAGCATGGAAGGCTTAGAAGAAACCCTAGGCTCCGCGAACCACCGCGAGGGCAGGCCCCTCAGAACAATGGTGTCGGGTTCGCGCTTCACTCTACTCAAACCACGATTCTGAAACGCGTAAAAATGTTCCCAGTCTTTCTTGATGGCTTCGAAATCGTCGGAAACGGGAACGGTAACGGCGAGTTTGAACTTAACCCCTTGGAGGTTGAGTTCGATCCCGTCAATGCTTTCGGCGAGGCGCGTCCTCCACGCGCGAAGGTGGTCCTCTGTTTGGAGGAAGGAGAGATCCCAAACGTGGAGGGTTCCAGAGGCGACGGGGTCCTGGCGCTTGCGTTTCTTGGTGTCCCTTCGGCGCGTGAGTTGGAGATGGTCTTCGGGGAGTGAAAGGGAGTGAGAGGTTGAGAGGAAGTCGATGAGGGCACGTTTCATCTTCCAGTCATCGATTGGGTGAGTGAGAGTAAGGGGTGTGGAAGGGTACACTGTGAGGTTTAGCTTGACGCGTGGCACCAGGGTGAGACCGTTCTCTATCTCCAATTCCTTCAATGCTTCATCTTCTGTGTTCCTCCTCATACTCACTCTCTCTCTCCACTTCTCGCTTTGGCTCCCACTGCCGGAGAACACCCAAACCTCGTCGCTTTTCTGTTTTCCTGTCGGAACACCACCTCCTTCCCCTCCAATTACTGCATATATGCTTCCGTTAAAGCTTCGTTATATATTTTTTCAAATTCTGTTATTATTTTATAAAATATTAACTAAGTAAATTTATATTATTTTGAAAATATAAAAATATTTACTTTTTGTAATAAAAAAAAGTATAGACATAAAGAATAAGAAAATTCTTTTAATAAACTTTTCTAACAAAATTTCAAATTTTTAAATTTTAGTTTTAAAAGTTTTTAACATTAAATTTTAAAATTAAATCATTTGAACTCTTCTTCTTTTTTAGTTCAAGCTTGTTTAGTATGATGAATACAAGCAAGTGTGGTTATGCTTATAATTATATTTGACAATATCAATAACATGATAATTATAATAGAAATAAAATAGCAAGAATAAAGATTGTGGTAATTTACGAATAATAAGTTAGTAGATAATATAATGGTGGTACAGTATGATAACAAAATTAGTTATATAAAAACTATAAAGGTGGCTAAAATAATCGTGTGTTAATAATAATAATTATTATGATGATAATAATTATTATTATTGTAATGATATTAGAACATAGTTATTATGCTAACAATAATTAATTAATAATAATAATAATAATATCGTAATAATTAAAATTACTTTTAAATTGAATTAAAAATTAATTTTATTTTAAAAATTATAATAAAAAAACAAAAACTCTCAATGAAACTGAGATTAAATTAACTAAAATTTAAAATATCTACAAAAGTTGATTTGTTGTATCAATTTTTAAAATTTTATTTTGAAAATTAATCTAATCTAATTCAAATCATACACATATGTATTTAACTTTTTATTCATATTTATATAGTTAAATATTTATAAAATTATAATATTTTTTATTTTTATAATTATATTTTTTATTTACACTATGAATATTATTAAAAATAATTCTATTTTAAGTCATATTTCATCCATGTATTCGGTGGTATAATTATGTAAGTGTTATTAGAGATATATTTTATTATTTTTATACATTTATAAGCATATTTATTTTATAATTTAATAATATAAAAAGCAACAAAATAAAATAATTTAATAATCACATTTTAACTAAATTAAAAAATAAGTTATAAAAATCAAATTATATCATCTGATTTAAATTTATTTTATCATATTTAATTATATGTAAAATATATTTAAATCAATTTAAATTAAAGTATAATATATTTTTATAATTAAATTATATAATTTTTTTACCAACAATTAATCAAATACATAAAAGAAATACTTTATTCTTAATTTCCATCATAGTAATCTTCTCTCCATCATAGATACATTTGTTCTAAGTAATTTTTTTCTTTTATTTTACTTAGTTATGAGTAGTATTTGTTTAAGTTTGACTTTATAAAAATTAAAATTCCTTTAAAGGTAAATTTTCTTTCTCAAATAGTATATTAAAAAAATATAATTAAAAATTATATATTATATTAAAATAGTATGAACAAAAGACTTTATATAAAAAAAAGTCTAAACAAAAAAGTTAAACCAACAAAATACATACAAATAACTAATTAACAATTAATTAATAATTTTTAATTATTAATTGATACTTTCTCCTACTAGGTTAGAAGTAAATGTTAGTGATTCCTAACTTGAAAATCAAATGAAAAAATAGATATGACTTAGAGACTTTAGTAAAAATGTCAATTATTTGTTCATAATTGCTGATAGGAAAAAGATGAAACAATTTTTTTTGGAGCTTATTCTTTACAATATGGCAGTCAATCTCAATATGTTTTGTTCGTTCATAAAAAAATTGCGTTAAACGTAATGTATCATGCAGGTTAACTATCATAATATAACAAGGTTTATAAAAGGAATTTTTAAATCCTAAAGAATGAGTTAGCTATTGCACTTAAGTCACAGTGAAGGCAAGGGCTTGTACTTGACTTCTAAGGAGGATTTTAGATATGGTTGATTGTTTCTTTGATTTTCATGAAATAAGGTTGTCTCCTAAAAAGATGCAGTAGCTTAGTAACAGATTTATGAGTTTTGGGACAAGTTGCCTAATCTAAATCACTAAAAGCCTTAAGTTGCAACAGGGAGGAGGTAGAGCTACTTTAAGATATATGGGGATTCTTAATGATGCTTTGTGATGAAGGTTTGTAGGGATGACATAAACTGTCAAAGCTGTTGAATAACAAAAGAGATGTCAAGCCTAGTTATAGTTAGGTAGAGTAGTTTTCCAATAAGCCTCGTATATCTTGCTACATTAGGATAAAGTCCTTCTTCAATTGGTTTGACTTCATGTGGCTTAGTCATAAGGGTAGGAATAGGTTTTGCTGCAAGATAATCGGTGTTAGCAAGGGGATCCAAAACATATTTTCTTTGAAATAGGGTGATGTCAAGATGAGATCTTACAACTTCTAAACTAAGAAAATATGTAAAAAGACCTAAATCTTTAATTGTAAATTGATTATCTAGTTTCTTCTTAATAGATTCAATTTTAGAAAGGTTGTTACTTGCTAAAATTAAGTCATCAACATATACTAAAAAAAAATAAAAATAAGTCATCATTAGATTTTGTGAAAAAGGAGTGATCATTTAAAGATTATTGGTAACTAAGACTATTAAGTAAGAGAACAGTTTACCAAGCCATTGCATGCTAGCTTGTTTCAAGCCACATAGGAATTTGTGAAGTTTATAACCAAAATTTGGTGAAGGAAAAATGAGTTCTTAGATAATTTTCATGTAAACATCTTAGTTATCATGTAAGAAGACATTATTTGTCTATTACTATAAGAAGCTTAACAATACTTAATTTTGTCATAGGAACAAAAGTATAAAAATATTCTAGACCTTTTATTTGGGTGATGTCTTTTGCCACTAATATGGACTTATACCTTTCAATTGACCCATTAAATTTATATTTTTTTATATATACTCATTTTGAACCAATGAGTATGTTCCAAGAGGAATAAGAACAATGAATCAAGTTTTATTTTCAGCCAAGGTTTAGAGCTCATTTTGCATGGCTTGTATCCATTTTTCATCTTTACTATCTTGATGATAGGAATTAGGTTCAATTCGAGAAAAGATGGAAAGAACAAACATAGTGGATGTTTAATTGTTATGTTGTTAACAAAATCAGTGTTGTACAAAAGGTTGCAATGAGTGTGTGAAAAGTAGGCAGATGAGCTTTTAGTTCTGACAAATCTCTTGATAGGTTCCTAAATAATATTAAGATCAGAAATAGAAACAAAAAGTGAATCAGTAATAACAATATCAATTCCTTATGAAGGAAGATTATCTATGTTAAAATTGAAAAATATTATTAAAATTTTCATTTGTATTTGATTTATGTGGTTTAAAAGGAAAAAAAAAATTCATAGAAAATTACATGCCTATTAATAGAAATATGTCAACTACCAATATCCATGACTATGTAACCTTTATTTATAGTTTTAAAACAAAGAAAAACATACTTCATGGTCTTAGGATCAAGCTTACTCTTTCTTTGAGTCAAAGTAGAAGCTTAACATAAACTTCCAAAAACCTTTAGATTTAACAAGGTAGGATGTTCATTGTATAAAATTTGGAAAATAGATTTACCTTGCAGAACTGATCAAGGAAGTTTGTTGATTAAATGGACAACATTCATAATAGTAAAATTTCAAAAAATATTAGACAAATAAGAATGAAATAACAAGGTTCTAATGATGACAACGTGTCTGTGTTACCTTTCCACAATAAAATTTTGTTGTGGAGAGTCTCAACATAAGATGTTTGGTAAGTATACCATGCTTAGCAAAAATAGATGCATGACATTTTCAATCCTATTATCACTTATTATATTTTTTATTCTCGTACCAAATTGAGTATAAATACAATTAAAGAAATCAATTAAACTTCTAGTTTCCAATTTAGATTTCACACACACAAAAATAAAATAAAATCACATATGTCTAGAGTAATCATCAATAACAATAAAAAAAAAATTATAACCAATAACCATGCATGGATGTGACAGATATAGGTTCTTAGATATCCATGTGTATGAGATCAAAACAAACAATGTTTTAGTATTACTAATAGGAATAGAAAGTTTTTATTGTTTTTCCAAATAATAATAGTCACATATTTTTACAGAATCAAAATGTACATAAGAAAATTGTTGTCTGATATGATGTAAAATCTTAGCAGATGGTGACCTAACCTAAAGTGCCATAAGTCAAACATAGTGTGATTATTCAACACATCATTCTTAACAGAAATTTATTAGGTTCCTGCAATATGTATAAGTTCTTGTTCACTCTAGTTAGACCAATTATCCTTAAAGAAGTCATATCATACATGACACAAGGATTTTTCAAAAATTAAAAAATAATTCAACATTTCAATTAGATTAAATATAAGATTAAACCCTAAACTCTTAATACATATAAGATTAAATTGAAAATATGTTATATAAAGAATATTATCAAGATAAAAATTATTGGTGAAAGCAAAAGTTTCAAGAAAGTTAGCATAGGTGACAACTCTATTAAGCAGGCTAACTTGGATAAAATCTATGTAATGGGAAGTAATATAATTTTCAAGGAAATTTATGACATGATCAGTGGCCCCAATATCTAAAATCCAAACATTGAGTCCAAGAAGATTACTTAATTTTTTTTTATGAGTTTGAGTGTCATCTTAAGTATAGGGAGAAACTTGGTTAATTTTGTTTCATTTTTCCTAAATATCAGTTTTCTTGACTATTTTAATGACTTGTGTGTACTATTATTATGTAAGATCTTTGAAAAAATCAAAACATTCACAATTTTGACTCATAGAGGTTTGTAAACATCACAATTGTATTTTGAACTCAAAGCATTAACAAAAGGATTAAGAGACATTTTTTGAATTTGAAGCTTGGTGGAAAGACATGCTTAAAGTAACATATTTCCACTATTTGTCCTTCTTTTCCAGAGAAGTTACATACCTTAAAATTTCCTTCATCTCCTCCTCTTTGGTTTGATCTACCTCTCCCTTGGCGACCTTGAAT